TGTCTGGTTCAAAAAGTAGCTTTCAAGGCAATAATCAAAAGTGAAATTCAAAAGAAGATACATCACTGAAACAAGCATATAATTTCCCAAGGTAGGAAATCTTGAAGGACGACATTCCTTGGTTTCTGTAACATGTCCTGTGTTTATTTAAACATTCTATATGATCGCTTGCAGAGCAACCTTATATGGAAAGCCGGCCTCACAACAGTGCACAGCCCCCACCACTAAATCACTGCAGCTCCCGGACGGAGCCGGGTAGCTCCATGCTGGTATCTAACATGAGGAATTAAAATATAATTCCTGTTGCTTTTCCATCAATCACAAGCCAGTTCTGTAGGTAGACTGTTGTAAACACGATTAATCACTTGTTTTAGAAAAGTCACAGGACTGCCTAATTATAACTTTGCTTTTTAATACTTTTGAAAAATAATGAATGCTCAAAGAAGAAAATTTGGAGAACAGTAGGTGTAAGTATTAACTAACCAACCCATAATCCCATCATCTATAAATAATCAAGGTAAACATCGGGGCACATATGCTCCCGGATCCCTCTCTGGTGGGTGGTGTTTGTGTGCAGGGTAGACACCATGCTTGGGCTGGACAATCGGCCATGGTGGTTTGCAGCTGTGGGAACGGAGGCAGGGAACTCTGTGTCTCTGTCTCACCGTCTGTAAAATGGGAATAGCTTGCCTTCTGCACACCCAGGGCAGCTAAAGGCCCAGGGAACACAGCACCATGCCTGACACATACCAAGTCTTCCATTAATTATGTCAAGGCACTTATTATGACAGAATTTAGAAGGCAGCTGTGACCTCAAGAATCATATCGTGAGCATTTTCCTTGGCATTATTTTAGTTCTAGTACAAGAGCACAATTAAAACCTGAAGCCATTCACCTGTTACTCAGAACTGTCCACAGGTAGGTAGATAATAATCGTCATTGCCTGAAATATAGGCGGTGACACCAAAGCCACATAAAAGAATTAAAAATAAAAGAAATTCTCAGTAACTTCCACCACACCAGCAGAACTAGCATCCCTGCCAGTAGGTTCAGATACAAATATGTTAACACTTTAAAAAGTCCATCCTACCCATTCTGTCCCCAAAGGGGCATTTGGAAATGGCTGGAAATGTGTCGTGGTGCTGGAGCTGGGGGGGGGGGGCGGAGGACGCTGTTCCTGGTTCTGGTGGGTAGAGGCCAGGGAGGCTGCCGAGCATCCTTGGGTGCACGGCCCAGCCCCATGCTCGATCCTTAGCAGTCCTGGAGCTGACTCTCTCTAACCCTAACTAGCTGTCTGATCCCAAAGACCTCGCTTTCCCTAGAGCACAGGTTCCGATCGGGACCACTCAGGTTCTCTGGGCACCACCCAGGCCCTGGCTACGTGCCACAGACAGATGATGTCCTCCCGCCCACCCCAACAGGCCTAGGGTGCAGCCCTGCTCTCTCTTGGGCCAGGCTGCAGTGCTCCACCCCAAGCCACGAAGCCTCCAGACGGCTCCGCCTGCTCCGATCCCAGGCCCTTCCGTTCCTGAGCCTCTGTTCTCAACCCTCACCCTCTTCGGCCTTGGCCCAAGCTTCTCCATGTCCGTGGGTATACGTGGAGACTTGTCATGATCAATAGTGACAGAGAGTCCATCTCACATGCAAACTGTATGGTATTTCAGTAGAAATACTCCAATATAGAAGAAGATCATGTGGCTACAGAGGACTTCATGGAAAGAGGGCCACGCTGGGTTACAGGTGAGGGAGGGAACAGGGGTGGTATTCATGCCCCACACTACTCATCCTTAGACGAGATGGCCTTTCCTTAAGGTCTTTCCGAGGATCAGCCACCTGTGTTCCTATTTCCTCCAACCATAAGTAGCCTCGATTTGGGGCCATCAGCAGCTTGCAGAATTGTGCACATGAAAGAAGAGCATCAGGGCCCTGGAAGGCCACCGCGAGGGCTCTATTCAGTCCATGGTTTTCTGTGGGTGCTGAGGAGCTGCTGAAATCTCTCAGGTCCTTGCCTGCATGAGACAGGAAACATCAAAGTTCCTGAAAACCACAGCACACCTCCACCCAGAGCCAGGGCCAGGGGCAGAGAAGGCAGAGGGGGCGGGCGGATTCCACAGTCCTCCGGGTGACTGAAGGGGACAGCCGCCAGGCCTCGGAACTCGGGGGAGGCCCAAGCATCCTCGGCTACATTTTTTTAAAGTTATGCAATGTTTATCGAACTGAGATCACTGGGGGGAGAGAAGGAAAGAAAAGGAATCACACAAGCTTTACTAAACAAAGTCTCCTACCAGCAAACTCTGAAACCACTGCGACCAGCCCGGGCCACCAGAGCTCGTCTCCAGTTACAGAGATCTGAGGGACGGGGGTGGGAAATAAACAAGAGTCCAAGGGAAAATCATTAATAGGATGCTCCAAACTATTTTCCCACAAGTGATTTCTTTAAAAAAAAAAAGTGGGGGGGGGGGGAATAGCAAGCCACACTCCACACTGGGAAAAAAAAAAAAAGAAATCAATGTCCTGAATTCCTGTTCAAACAAAACCACATCCCCAAACTGAGATCCCATTGTCCTAGCTGTACAACTGTGGGGTGCCACTCCAGAAAATGTCCAAAAATATCAAAGAGCCGAGTAATTAATAGAGGACTCCGTAAGGAGGGGGGAAAGAATTTAACAAGGTCAAACCCACCCACCCCCAAAAGAAACTACCAGAAAACCTAGGCTCACATCTCGGCAGTGTGTCGCTTCAAGATCTTCCTGTTTACAAACAACAACAAACACACAGCACGCACACACCACCACCCACATCCAGTTTTCCAGGAAGTTAGATATTTAAACAAAACATTTGGGCTTCTTCAGTGAAACAGATGTAATTTCTCCCATCATTGATGGACAAACTGGTGTGGCTCTTTAATTTTGGGGGACCAGAGATGGAACCCAGGGGTGCTCTACCACTGAGGCACATCCCCCAGACCTTTTGATGTGCTATTTTGAGACAGGGTCTTGCTAAGTTGCTAGGGCCTTGCTAAGTTGTTGAAGCCAGCCTTCAACTTGCAATTCTCCCGCCTCAGCCTCCTGAGCCACGGGGATCACAGGCGTGCACCACTGCACCTGGGCTGGTACGGTTTTTATAAGAGGAGTGGAAAATGGATTCTAAGGGTCCTGGTTTCATCTTCCTGAAAGATTCCAAGCCATATGGGGATCAAACGCCACGCAACATTCTTTTCTTATGAAACAAGTAATTGTTTTTGTCTCATGTGTCTTAAAGCAAAATAAGACGTCTCTGCGACAGGAAAGCAAATACATATTGGAAACTTTTTCACTAAGATGGATGTTGCTGATGTCCAGCTCAAGGCAACTCAGCAAGAAATGACGACTGTGCTAAGTTAGCTAAGCCCATGACATCCGAGCTGTGTCAACAAGGCACCAAGACAGTGACGAAAAGGCGAAGTCAGTCACGGCCAGACGTTGTGTCTGGTGACCGACAGCTGGGATTTCCCAGTCCTTGCTCTTGCTCAGTCTTGGGAGCCTGGGGAGAGGGCTCTTCCCACCAAGTCCCTCTGCCACCGCACACGGGCAGCTGTGGTGAGCCTCTTGCCAGAGCTCCACAGCCCCCGCCTGACTTCCAAACGTCCCTCCCGTCTTCACCTTCAGAAGTGGCTTGTCTTCTACATGAAGACTCTTCCTGTCTCAAATTCCACATCTTTAGTGACCAGGAGGCACAGTGAGAGATCTCCAAACCTCCTGCCACCTCTCCTGAGGATTCCCTGTCCTGCAGGGTCCTACGGACACCGAGGCCACCATCTCCCCGTCCCCTGTGGGCCCAGGAAGTGGCAGGACGGCATGGTTAGGAAGAGCACTGGGATCCAGGTCTGGTTCAGCCAAGGAGGGCGCGTGTGCTCCCTGGCAGTGTGCTGCCCTCACAGATCTCCATCCTCCCTTGCCACCCCGTGGGCTGGATCCACCCAGAGCCTTCCTGCCTCCGAGAGTTAGTGGAGGATTGTGCTGGCCGGGTTCTCGGGGAAGCAGCCGTCAAGGAGCCATGACTCATGCCAGAGATGTACTGGGGGGTGTCCACGAGAGAAAACGGGGAGCTACAGGATGCTCAGAGATACAGTGGGGGACACGGAGAGAGGACAGTCTGAGATGGAGGTCACGGTGCAGCTCGAGGAGGGTGTTATCAAGGTCACTAGTGATGGCCTCACATCCATAGCCCAGCTAACTCCGTCACTGGTTAGGAGAAGGCTGAAGAAAGTGTGGCACTGGGGCCACTAATGGGGAATTCAGATGTAGCAGATGGAAGGGGCCATTAGCAAATGATGCTTTCCTTAGAGGGAGACCTAGGAAGAGTTTCTGCGTGGCCAACAGCAGGTGAAAGGCCAGAATGCCTAGGCAGCTGGGCCCCCATGAAATGATCATGGCGGCCATGATGATAACAGTGACATCACTTCCTACACGACTGGAATCTGACTCACGTCTTTCTTCCATACTTGCCCAGCCACTGAGCTCTGAGCCTGTGAGATCCTTGTGGGTGAGCTAATCTGGAATGTCTGTGCTGCCCTGGACTCAAGGGACCTCCACTTCAATCACGTCAGCCAACAACCACGGCACAGGGAACTGAACACAAATGATCAAGATGGGGCTGAAGATCATCCAAGCTGGATGAGATCACCCCAGTCTAGAGGAACATTCCATGCCACTGGTGTAGGGACATCACAGAGGGGACATTGAGACAAAGCCTGCCAGACTCCTCAAGTTGAAGGCACAGAGATAAGAGTCCAGGAAAGTCAGTTGGCAAGAGTTTGCAAAGAGAGTCCCAAAGGAGACAGCCACTTAGAGAGGGTGCTCCAGAGATTTGCAGAGACCCCCGACTATTCAGCAGAGAATTTGGCCAGTCCTGCTTGCACGGAAGCTACCCAAAGAGTTCAGAGAAAGCATCCATCGAGGGAACAAGAGCTCACATACAACTGGAAGTCGTAGGTGATCCCTAGAGCCAGAATGGGACAT